CCGTGTGACTTGGACTGCTCACTCTTTGGGCCTTGTCCCTTATCTGTAAAATGAAGGACAGGGGATAGACTTGTGATTTCCTTGGTATAGGGAATTTTTAGGTGAGGACCCTCTCCCTGTACAGGTTTGGCACATTCTCTGCAAGGTGAAGGTCTAGAGAGCTGCCAAAAGCATTGAGTGGTTAAGTGACTGCCAGAGTCACACAACCTATGTGCCTCAGAGGTAGGACTTAGAGCTGCTTGTCCTGGTTATGAGGCCACTCCTCTATCCACTGTTCTACTCTGCATCTTGTGGGATGTTGAACCAATAAATGCCTTTTTCTCTCTGCATTCAAGACCAGTGATTTTATCTAGACCTTCCTGATGCCCACAGATTCCTTCAGTGCATAAGACCTGGGCTTTTCTCGTTTGTTATGATCAGAGGAGAAGGGAAGTTATTTTTGCTTTTTTGTAGGTTCCTTGAAATTCTACATGTTGTGGTATTACTTGTGTGTAATGTAGTTAATGAGAAATAATAATTGTCATATACCCATTAGAGAAATGTTTATAGCTGGTAGAGCATTATTTTCAAAATTTTTTTTTTCAATTACACTTAAAAATAATTTTTAACATTTGGTTTTTTTTTTTTTAATTCGAGTTCCAAATTCCCTTGCTCCCTCTCTTCCCATTTCCCTCCTTGAGAAGGCAAGCAGTTTGATGCAGGTTATGTGTGTGTAGTCATGGCAAACATGTTTCCATGTTAGTCATGTTGTGAAAGAAAACAAGACCAAAAAAAAAACCCAAGGAAAAGAAAGTAAAAAAAAAAGTATATTTTCATCTGCTTTCAGATTCCATCTTTCTCTGGAGATAGATAGCACTTTTCATCCTAAGTCCTTCAGAATTGTCTTGGATCTTCATATTGCTCAGAATAAATATTGCTGTTACTGTGTACACTATTTTCCTAGTTCTGCTCACTTCACTTTGTATCAGTTCATTTCAGTCTTTCCAGGTTTTTCTGAAAACATCCTGTTCATCATTTCTTATAGCACAGTAGTATTCCATCGCAATCATATGCCACAACTTGTTCGGCCATTCTCCAATTGATGAGCATCCCCTCAGTTTCTAATTCTTTGCCACCACAAAAGGAGTTGCTATAAATATTTTTGTATATGTAGGTCCTTTTCCTTTTTTTTTTTTTTTTAAATCTCTTTCGGATACAGACCTAGTAGTGTAGGGTATACATGTTTCTAGAGCCCTTTGGGCATAGTTCCAAATTGCTCTCCAGAATGGTTGGATCAGTTCACAACTTCACTAGCAGTGCTTTAGTGTCCTAATTTTCCCACATTCCTTCCAACCTTTGCCATTTTCCTTTTCTGTCATTAGCCAAACTGATAGGTGGGAGGTGGTACCTCAGAGTTGTTTTAATGTGCATTTCTCTAATCAATAGTGATTTAGAGTATTTTTTCATATGACTATAGATAGTTTTGATTTCTTCATCTAAGCTGCCTGTTCATATCCTTTGACCATTTATCAGTTGGAGAATGACATATTATTTATAAATTTGACTCAGTTCTCTACATATTTGAGAAATAGGGCTTTTTGTCAAAGAAACATGCTGTGAAATTTTTTTTGTTATGATTACTGTGTATTTCACTCCTTCCTGTTTTTTCCTGTTTATCCTTCTTTCTCTCTCCTTTCACCCTGTCCTTCCTCAAAAGTATTTTGCTTCTGACCACTGTCTCCCCCAATCCAGCCTCCCTTCTCTTAGCATCCCCCTGCCACCTTCTCTTATCCCCTTCCCCTAATACTTTCGTATAAGGTAAGATAGATTTCTATACCCAACTGAGTGTGTATGTTATTCCCTCTTTGAGCCAATTCTGAGTAGAGTAAGGTTCAAGGGTTGTCACCCCTACCCCCATCTTCCCCTCCATTGTAAAATCTCTTTCCTGATTCTTTCATGTGAGATAATTTACCCCACTCTACCTTTCCTTTCTCTCTTCTTCCAGTGCATCCTCTTTCTCATGCCTTAATTTTATTTTTTTTAAGATATCCCCTCATAGTCATCCCCCTTTCTCACCTCTTAATTTTATTTTTTTTTAGATATCCCATCATATCGACTTAACCTGTGCCCTCTGTTTATGTACACTCCTTCTAACTGCCCTAATACTGAGAAAGTTTTAGGAGTTACAAGTATTGTCTTCCCATGTAGTGATATCAACAACTTAACCTTATTGAATTCCTTATGATTTCTCTTTCCTATTTACTTTTTTATGCTTCTCTTGAGTCTTATATTTGAAAGTCGAAATTTTCTATTCAGTCTGTTCATCAGAAATGCTTGAAAGTCCTCTATTTCATTGAATATCCATTTTTTCCCCCTGAAGGATTATACTTAGTTTTGCTGGGTAGGTGATTCCTGGCTGTAATCCTAGTTCCTTTGCCCTCTGGAATATCTTATTCTAAGCCCCCTGATTTTTTAATATAGATGCTGTTAAATCTTGTGTTATCCTGACTGTGGCTTCATGATATTTAAATTGTTTCTTTCTGGCTGCTTACAGTATTTTCTCCTTGACCTGGGAGCTCTGGAATTTGGCTATAACATTCCTTGGAGTTTTCATTTTGGGATCTCTTTTAGGAGGTGATTGGTAGAGTCTTTCAATTTTTATCTTACCCTCTGGATCTAAGATCTCAGGGAAGTTTTCTTTGATAATTTATTGATATTTCAAATCGTATTTGAAATATGATATATGAGGTGTGGTTATTGCTCTCTAGACCTGTACTCTGGTAGATGAGCAACCATAAGCACTCTTTTCTGCCCTGGAATGTTGACCAGGGTCCCTGTTTGCCTGTGGCTACACACTCTAGTGTGCTCTAGTGCTTCCATTGCCCTGGCACTGTGACCCAAAACTGCATATGGGCAATGCACAGGGTCACCTGTAATCTCCTTCTGACCAGTTGTCCAACCCCTACGGTCTGTGGGGTGAGAGATCTGAAGCCACCCCTCCTAATTCAGTCATCCCTAAAGCCTGCTCCTTGCTTGCAAGGAGACATCCAGAGCTGGATTGTGCTCCACTCTCAGCCTGGTGCAACAGACCTTTCTTGCCAGTCTTCTAAGTTGTCTTGGGCTGGAAAATTTTTTCACCCCATCCTTTTGTTGGTTCTGCTGCTCTAAAAGTTATTTTGAGGCATTATTTTAAAGTTATTTGGAGTAGAATTTGGGAGCTCAGCTAAATCCCTGCCTTTACTCTGCCATCTTGGCTCCCAGAACCTACCTTGGTTTTTAAAAACACAAGAGTCACCTACAGCATCGAGGTTTCACAAATGAATTATTGACTTAGTGTACACCATTCTAAAAATTCATCGTCCCTTCTTGATTTACTAATAGGTGAGTGAAATTCTTTTGATATATAGAAGTAATTAAAAAGTGAGGGATTTTTAATATAGGGGTTGAACATGAATGATAGATATGAGTCAGGAATCTAATTTGAAATACCTGTACAGAAGGAATAGTCTAGACTGGAAGTTGAAACTTTGGTTCCCCCTCACTGGAGGTCTTTAAGCAAAAGATGGATGATGCTCTGTTGGGTTTGTTGTAAAGCGACGAACTGGACTAGGTGGCTTCCAAGGTCCTTTCCAGCGTTAAGTTTATGTGATTCCATGAAGACTGTAGGAAAATTGGGAAAGCTATTGCTGTTGTCTAATGATCAATGGTAGTAGAAACAGAAGGAAAGACATCTGTATTAAGCTTCTGATTGCTTCTTTATATAGCCATGAGCCATCTTTCTTAATACCTATTTCTGAGTGTGTGATAAACATTTTAATTTCTCTAGCCATTAATTCCTTTAAGATATTTCCTTGCCCCTGTTTCCTACAGTTAGTTCATGTGTAAATTTCATTGAAACTTGAGTAGTTTTTTGGGATCATCACAGATAAGAACAAATCAATAATTAGGTAGTTTGGTTTCTTATCTAATTTTGTACTTTAAGTGAGTTTTGAACTCCATGATGAATTTTTTTGATCACAGTGTTTTTGGTAAAAAGAGAAAAAGAAAAGCAAGAGCATCTTTTTTCAGAAACAACAGTTCTCCACAAGGAGGCAGCACTTGAAAACAAGCGTATTGCATGGATGTCTCTGTGGACCTTGTACTTTAAATCACATGTCTCTCCCTCCACCCTCTTCTGCTCCCCTTCTCCCATCCTTCTTCTTTTAATGGTTTATTTACCTTTTTACAAGTTGATTTCCATGTAGCCCTATTTGTTATTGACATGAAATATAAATGTAAGGTGTCCAGTAGCATTAGTCAACTTTAGTTCTCTTAACTAAAGTGTTAGAAGTGCATGTTTAATTCAGGTGAACTGTTAGAATATTTTATAATCTCTTGAGCATGTAAAACATGCATTTTAAAAGCAATCAAATAGGCAAAGAAAATTTTAGCTTTTCACCAAGGTGCTATTTTTGATTTTTGTTTATAAAAATCTCTTCTGAAAATAGCAATGTTTAAATACCATACTAAAGCATCATTTATTACTCATTCTTATAAAGTCTTTTTGGAATTTATCCAAGATGCTGATTTTTTTTTTCTCAAATGTAGAATTTTATTTGACTGGCTTTGGGCATTCTGAAGGCCGGCTTACCCCCCAGCTCTTTGCAACATATATACTATTATGTACACCATGTCTCATTAAAAAAAGAACCCCGGTTGTACATACAGGCAGATTTATTAAGAGGTATCAAAGTATTTTTTTTCTCAACTCAGAGATTTCTAATAAGTTTTATTTTTGCTTTGAATAAAATATTGTACATTGACTTTGATTATCAGTATTTTGCTAAGTGTTTCTGATATTCTCCTTTCCCTTATTCCTGGGTATATCTTAATCATTGGTTTAATTTAGTTTAATTAATGTTGATACTCAAGTGTTCTGAACTCCCTTTCTAATATCTGTTACTACCTTATTCTTAATACTGTTTATATGTTTAGTGAGATAAAGTGAATAACATGACAAAATTATTCTTCTTTCTCTTCAGGCACCAGAGTTTCCGGAGTTTGCCATTAAAGTTCAAGAAGCCATTAATTCCCTGGGGGGTAGTGTATTTCCTAAACTTAACTGGAGTGCACCAAGGGTAAGAACATAGATTTTGTTTTTCATTGTTTTATCATTCCTTATTTTAATTTTTCCCCCCTTTTGTTCTTTTGGTCTGATCAGTTTTGTGATTCTAGGAGCTTATGGCCATTTCTCTGTTTTATATCCTTTTTTTTCTTTTGTTTTGTTTGGTTTTATATTGTTCTGAGTCTGATACAAGATCCTGCCAGAAGGAGTTTCAAATTTTGTTTCTAAACTATGTTGGAATTGAGAAGGGTAGTTTCTGTCCTTTTCAAAACCATAGCCATCTACCTCAGTGTACAGAGAAATGTTTCTCTCTTGAAAATAATAGAATTAAAATATCACAGGACTTAGAAATAGAGGGACTTAGAACTGAGTTTGCTTTTGAAAATTGTTTCTTAACTCTTAAACAAATTGTTAATGTAGTAATAAAGGTTCATGAATGGATTTCTTTTTTTTAAAGGCAGACAAATTTTATGTGAACAGGCATTGATAGGAGTTCTGAATTATTTCAGTATTATTTTCCTTTATAATATTGTGATCATTATGTAAATTGTTCTCCAGGCTCTGTTTACTTGGCTCTGTATCAGTTCATAGAAGTTTTCCCAAGTTTCTCTGAATTCTTCCTATTTGCTATTTCCTGTGGTGCAGTACTATAATATTACAGTCATAGACCAAGATTTGTTCTGTCATTCTCCAAACAGTGGGCACCTATTTCCTTTCAAGCTCTTTCCTACCTACCTTTCCAGGCTTATTGCTAGATATTCCAACTATATACTCAAGTATGTTCTAACCTGAACTATCCTGTTTCCTTTTTCCCTAAACACTTGACATCTTTCTCCTCTGGGTCTTTGCACAGGCTGCCCTCGTGGCTGGAATTCACTCCTGCCTCAACTCCAGCTCTTAAGACTTCAAAAGCTCAGCTCCTGTGTCCCAATCTATGGGAAAATTTTTCTTAATCTTCCTTTGTTAATATTCTCTCCTACCTTCTCAAGCGATCATTTATATTTTTACGTGTCTCCAGAAGAATATTACCATTAATCTTCATCATTAGAGGAAGAACTCTTTTTCATTTTGTTTTTGAATCCTCAGTGTTTAGTGTAGTTCTTGCATAATAAATGCTTAATGTTTGTCCCTTGTTACCAAGTGCTAGTTGGATTAAATTAGATTCAGGGGACAGAGAAGTATCCTGGAGTATAGTTTGAGATGTGTAGTAATATGAAGTAAGACTGAGATGGCATGGCAGTGGCAGACTCTGGAGGGTCTTGAATTTGAGTTTGAAGTTTACTTGATAGGCCATAGGGAGACATGGAAGACTTTGAACAAAATAACTTGGCCAAGTCTTTGTATAAAAGAAATTAGTATAGCAGAGCATGAAGTATATGGATTAGAGGTAAGGGAAAAGTGGAAGCAGGAGACTTTGGCAGTAGTCCAAGTGGATATTATTATGAGCCTGTACTGTGGTGATGGAAGTGAGATGTTGTAGAGATAGAATTAGTGGGATTTGATAACTAACTGGTTATGAAAGTGATGGAGAGGCAAGGATGACATTGACAGTAATAGAGGAGCAAGTAGGTGCCAGATGTTGCATATGCTATTAGTTACATTGCTGAATTAGTTTATTTTGTCTTTTTTTTTTTTTTTTTGGTGACAGAGGAGTATTCCATAGGGTAGAGGTTGGAGTAGGGAGGGTTTGGGGAAATAAAAGGTTTAAAAAACAAAAGACCAGTAAAATTTTTTAAAAAGAAAAGAAATAAGTCAGAGCTAGAGATACAGATTTGGGAATGAATCAGAATCACAGAATTTTAGTGTTGGGAGAGACCTCAAAAATCATCTAGCCCAACCAATATCTAAAAAAGAATCCTAACTACAAACTTGAAAAGAAGTTATCTAACCTTTGTTTGAAGACCTGTAAAGTAGACCACACTACCTTCCCAAGCATTCCATTCCAGTTTATGGATTGAATGAGAGTTAGAAAATTTTTCCTGACTTCAAAATCAGAGCCCTCCCTGTAGAGATGGTAGTTGAAATCTTGTGAATGAATGAGACAAAGGGTAGCAAGAGTGGTGGTTGTTTCTGAAGCCAACTGACAAGAGATTGTCCGGTAAAGGCAAATGCTGAAGAAAATGCTGTAATGCGGGAAGAAAACAAAAAAAAACAAAACCCTTTTGATTTTGTAGTTGGGGGTCATTAGGACCTTTTAGAGAAAAGTTTCAGTAGAGTGTTGTGAGAAGAAGCCAGATTTCAAGTAGTTGAACAGAAAGTGGGAGGTGAGGAAGTGGAGGCCTTTTATATATTTTTTCAAGAGATTTGTCCCCTAAAAGGCCAAGAAATATGGAATATCAGTCAGTCATTAAGTCAAAACACATTTATTAAATGCCTGCTGTACCCCAGCACTGTGCTAAGCTCTGAGGATACAAAGAAAGGCAAAAGCTAGTCCTTGTTCTCAAGGAGCTTACAGTTCAGTGGAAAACAGTATGTTAACAATCGTGTACAAGCAAATTATATGCAGTTGGAAGTAATCAACATAAGAAAGGCACTAGAATTAAAGAGGATCAGAAAAAGCTTCCTGCAGAAACTGGAATTTCAGCTGGGGCTTGAAAGAAGTTCTTTTTAAAGCGGAAGGTGGAAATGAAGAGGGAGAACATTCCATACATGGGAGACAGCCAGTGACAATGGCCAGAGCCAGGAGATGGAGTGTCCTCTGTGTGTGTCTGTGTGTCTGTGTGTCTGTGTCTGTGTCTGTGTATCTGTGTGTGTCTCCCTGTGTGTGTGTAGCAAGGTGTGAGGGTGGTGGTGGGGGAATGATATAAGAAGACTAGAAAGATAGGGGAGGGCCAAGTCATGAAGGGCTTTGAATGCCAAACAGAAGATTTTATATTTGATTCTGTAGGTGCTGAGGATCCAATAGAATTTATTAAGTAGGGGGTAATATGGTTAGACTTTCACTTTAGGAAGATCACTTTGATAGCTGAGTGGAGGGTGAGCTAGAGTAGGGAGAGACTTGAGGTGGTAGAACCAACCAGCAGGCTATTTCAGTAGTCCACGTCTGAAGTGATAAAGGACTATACCAGGGTAGTGGCAGTGTCAGAGGAGGGAAAGGGGGCAATTTAAGAGATGTTACAAAGGTAAAATTCACAGACCTTAGCAAAAATTGGATTTGAGGGAGTGGGAGAGAAACTGAAGAGTCGAGAATGATGCCTAGGTTGCAAGCCTGGGGAATTGAGAGGATGGTGGTACCCCTGATAATAATGGGGAAGTTAGGAAGAGGAGAGCATTTGGGAGTAAAAATAATGAGTTGTTTTATATACATGCATACATGCATACATACATACATACATATATATATTATATATATAGCAAGATTGGGGGCGTAGAGGAGGGTAGAAAGATCAGGTGAATGATTTTTTAGATTTGGAGAAATCTGAACATTTTTTGTAGATAGATGGGAAGCAGCCAGTTTAGAGAAAGTGATTGAACATTTGTCAGTTAAGCAACAGGCATTTATAATGTATCAAGTACTATGCTAGAACATGATAGAGATTCAAAAGTGGGAAACTCCTTGCCTTCAGAGAACTTAGAATACTTGGTCAACAATATTCTCCATTCCTGGAGCAAGTTCCTAAAGAAAAAGAAGGAGGTGTGATTAAGGTTGCAAAAAGTGATATTGGAGGAAGACAAGAGGAAACAGTGGGTGATGATGATATTGAACCCTATTAGCATCAATATTTATGGAAATATTCATTGTTTCATTTTGGCAGTTTATCTCAGTTTTCTTTCCTTTGAACTGAATGAAGTTTAAGCTAAGTAATAGAACATTTACAGATTTCTGACCAAGGATAGAGCTTAAGATAAATACAATTCGTGAAAATTGGGTTTGAATTTGACCACAGCCAACTTCTTATTATTTACATGTAGGTAATCCTTACCCATGCCAAAATAATTCCCTCCCATTCAACTAGGTTGGAACTTTTCTACATTAAGAAATCTTGCTTTAGGGAGCAGATGTATTTCCCCTTCCACAGTAGGTGGAGTATCTGTTATTGTTTTCAGTTATCCATACTAATACTTCAGGTAGTACACACAATTGAGAGTTGATTATACTTTGAGACTGATTATTTTTTGTAATTCTCCTTTCCAAAATAAATATTTGCTATGTACTAAGGTACAGCATCTTGATAATCTAATAGTTTTCCATTTTTAGGTTTGTTTTGCTAGCTCTATGTTCTGTTACTTTATCTGAACATGTACAGTAGATATGTTTGTAGATTTCAGAGGTCCATGTGGAGCATTCTCTGTAGCTTTGAGTGTTCCACTTGCTTCTGTAAAACAATTGGAACTGGTATCCCAAATGCCCTAACTCTGCCTCCAAGTGTTTTAGCCACTATTACATAGGGGTAAGAGGAATGTAAAAGATTCCCTCTCCTTTGGCAAGAGGGACGCTTGGAACTTGACGCCCATCTTCCCCAGCTCACTTAGATCCCTTGAGATTGAGTATGTTCTTTAAATCTCTTTCCTTATTTTAAAAACAGCCTAAGTGAGCTAAACACTGGGAGGTACCCAGGTCACATTTGCTAAGGTTCTCTAAAACATCTTTGTGACATAATTCTCATAGAAAAGGCTCCTTATTAGCATATCTTAATACTTAGGGACAAGGCTTCCGGAGATAATTACTGCAGTTCAGAAGTTCTTTAGAAATACATGTCATTGAAATTGATTAAGGAGATGATGGCTAAATCTGTCATCTAGTTTAGTGATCTCAACTTTTTTTTCATTTGAAGTAATATACAATGTTGATTGGTTATAGACTTGATTTTATTTATGGCAACTAACAGAAATTTGTCTTGAATGTATTTGATTATCTAGGATGCTTACTGGATAGCGATGAATAGTTCTCTGAAGTGTAAAACCCTCAGTGACATCTTTCTACTTTTCAAGAGTTCAGACTTCATTACTCATGACTTTACTCAACCGTAAGTAGAGTTGTGGTTCTAACACATGCTTTATTACTCCACAGGTAAAGTCCCATTACAGTAAGTACTCTTATTACAAAGGACAGTTCTGTGTATAACAAAGCTATCTCTCTGCATGTAGCATCAGGAGAGAGACAGATTAGACTTATAATTTCATTGATGTCAGCAAATCAATCAGTAAACATTTTTAATGCCTACTATGTTCCAGTTGCTGTACTAAGCACTGGATGTACAAAGAAAAGGAAAAAAGACAATCTCTGCCCTTAAGGGGATTACAGTCTAATGGAGTAAAATGGTACACAGAAGGGAGGTGAAAAGTGAGATGTGTGGAGAAAAGGGAAGACACTCTGCGTGGGAGTATGATGGAGAAGTCCAGAGAAGTGCCCCCAATGTGGGGAAATCCTGCAGGAGAAAACTCTTTTTTGCTTGTCTTTGTGTCTGCAGCTCTTAGCACAGCTCTTCACACACAATAAGTCCTTGATAAATGTTTATTGACTGCCTGCCCATCTACCTTTACTAGTGTAGGACTGCACCCTCTCTTCAGTATATTCAGTAGTCTGAACAGTGAAGTGACTTATCCTGGGTCACATACTCAGAAATGGAACTTGAACCTAGGTCTTCTTGATCTGAGGCCAGCCCTGTATTCACTTACATTTCCCAGGGATGGCCTTTTGAAATGAAACTTTGTTGACCTTGTTTAAATCAAATACATTCAGTGAATAATCCTGTATAGTAAAGATTTTCTGTGATTGTTATGGAACAGTCACTCTCAAATCAAGGAGCCTGATTTTACCTTATTTGTGTTATAAAGATTGAAAGAACTGCTGTGTTGAGCTTACATGTCCTGCCTTCAGATTGCAGTTATTCTCTAGTTTCCCTTAATCTCTCCATGTCTTGAATAAAATTTAGCTAACCCCACCTGCATAAAGCACCAAACAGCCCCAATCTTGGAGCACATGGGAGGGAGAAGCATGGAGCTAGATTTGTCTATGCCTCCCTTTTCTGCCTACTCACTTAAAAGTACCTGATTTCTTTTGCTGATTCACTTCACAAAACCTGGACAGCTCTGTTTCATCTTTGGGACTTGCATCCTGGGCACTTTATTTTTAGGAATATATTCATTTTAACAAAATCCATTGTAACAAAACCATTGGGATAGTCTGTGGTATTTTTTCATAAGGAGATTTTATTTCTATTAGTGCTCATAATTTATTTAATCTGATCCAAAAACCATTTATTGAATATCTGCTATGTGCAAGGAACTATTCTGAGTGCTGGGGCTACAAAGAGAATGTGGGAAAAAATCTCTACCACTAAAGACCATATGTTCTACTGGGAGGGTACAGCATTATAAACAGATAAGTATTTGCACAATGCTTTGAGGAGAGAGATTGTGCTAAGTGGAGGTGGAGAATCATGAAAGATTTCCCAAAGGAGGTGGCATATAAGCTGAATCTTGAAGGAAGCCAAAGGAATTGGAAGAGAAGAGGGGGAAGGGGGAAACTGTGGGCTTGAGGGGCAAAGAGACCTGAAGAAAGAGGTGGGTACGCTTAGTTCAGGGGTCAGTAAGTTGGTCAGTTTGGCTGGAAGACAGAAGATATATGTATTTTTGACATTTGGTTCTTTTAACATTGTATTTATGTTTGCATCATTTTTCTTACGAATTTTATAGCTTTTGTTTTAATTCTGATAAAACAGCATTTTTATTCCGGGAAATATATTTTCACTGTGAAAAAAGATCATGATTTTGTAATTCTTTGTAATACTTAAGTGACACTTAACTCTTCAGATGGCCTTTAAGTGAATTATGTTAGAATTGTTCTTTAACTGTTACATTTTTAGCACCTATAATTGGAATGTGGACAGAGCATTAAACTTGCAGTCAGAGGAGAGCTGGGTCCAATTTCTGCCCCTGAAATTTATTAACTGTGTGACCACAGGCAACTCACTTAATCTTTCTGTGAGCCTCCATTTCCTCATCTGTAATACCTTCTTTCCTCCTTTCTAAACAAAGTATAGTCATCTTTTGATTATCTAATGTTGAGGGGTGGTTATTGTATTAAACATATTAAGTATGCCAGTTGATCCTTCAGGTACCGTTCATTTACTTTTTGACTAATATAATTTATTTTTTCAATTGCTATTGCAGTAGAGGTAGAGAGAAGGTGGAAAGGCCAGTTTAGGTTAATTTGTTTCTGCTTTTTGGAAGAGGAAGTAAAATCAGTTGCTAAACCTGAAACTATAAATTATAAGGGTATTTACCTATAGAATGTCAGCCTTCATAAATGATTGGGAGTTGGCTATGGCAAATAGATAGGACTGAGTTTTGAACCTTTTCCTTAAGCGAGCCAGGGTGACTATATAGGGATTACTGATGATTTATAATTACTGTATAGTTTGTCCCTTTCTAGGACTATTTCTTGGTAATCACTAGCAAAATGATTAGCATGGAGCAGCATCATGTGAAAATCTTTTAGTCATTAAATACAACTGTGTTTCTCATAGAAGGCTTTGGTCTCTGGAGCCTCTTACCAGGTAAAATTGCTGGTAAGAACAATTTCATTCATATAATTAATTTTTTTTTTTTAGATTTTTAAGGATGGTAGAAAAATTAGATGTCATTTAGTTGAAGTAATTTTAACAGAGGAAGGAAACAGTCTGAAAGAGGTTAAATGAGTAATTTGTCCAAAGTCCCATGGCTGCTTAGTAGCAGAGCTAGGATGAGAGCTCAGTTTCATAAACTAAGTTGAAAGATTCCTGAAAGTACATTGACTTTCCTTGTAGGAAAGTGATGTTTCCCTTTGAAAAAAATTTTTATTGGAGCATTATGTTCTAATAACTTACATTTTTGTAGCATTTGAAGCTTTACAAAATGCGTTCCTTGCAATAACCTTTGTGATAGATAGCAGAAGTAATGTTATCCCCAATTTATTGAAAGGGAAACTGAGAATCAGAGGGGAGCTAATTTGATTCCCCGGTGCCCACACAGTGCTTGTCATGTAGAAGATACTTAATAAATGATTGTTAATTGATATTTGGTTGTCCACAGTGACATAGCTAAGTAGTTCAAGGCAGGTGGTATTCTTGGTTTCTTTTTTTTTTATACTTAATAGTATTTTATTTTTTTCCAATTACATGTAAAGAGAGTTTTCAACATTCAATTTGTAAGATTTTGAGTTCCAAATTTTTATCCGTCCCTGTCTTCCATCTCCCCTCCCCAGGACAACAAGCAATCTGATATAGATTATACATATACAATCATGGTAAACATAATTTCCATATTAGTTATGTTGTGAAAGAAGAATCAAAACAAAAGGGAAAAACCATGAGAAAGAAAAAACAAAAAAAGTGAAAATAGTATGCTTCGATCTGCATTCAGACTCCATAGTTCTTTCTCTGGATATGGCTAGCATTTTCTATCAGGAGTGTTTTGGAGTTGTCTTGGATCATCATATTGCTCAGACAGTCATCTCGCAGTGTTGCTGTTACTGTGTACAATGTCAGCTCACTTCACTAGCATCAGTTCATGTAAGCCTTTCCAGGTTTTTTGAAATCTGCCTATTTATCATTTCTTATAGCACAATAGTATTCCATTACATTAATCTACCACAACTTGTTCATCCATTCCCCGATTGATGGGCATTCCCCCACAACTTTCAATTCTTTGCCACCACAAAAAGAGCTGCTATAAATATTTTTGTACGTGTGGGTCCTTTTCCCTTTTTTATGATCTCTCTGGGATACAGAACTGGTAGTGGTATTGCTGGATAGAAGGGTGTGTACAGTGTTATTTCCCTTTGGACGTAGTTCTAAATTGCTCTCCGAATTGTTGGATCAGTTCACAACTCCAACAATGCAATAGTGTTTCAATTAGGTAGTATTCTTGTTATGGAAAATTGCTTGTTATGCTCTTTCTCAGCATTGAAGAAGTGATTTCTTATACAAAGAAGGAAGTTCCAAAGAAGGGTCGTGGAAAGGCAGTAGGTAAAGAAAATAGGATGCACCGAACATATTTAATCTGTGCTGTATTTTCTTAATTGAATTATTTTTATGGACATAATCAGTCAAACAGCCTAAAATGATTGTAAGAGCTAAGTCATAAGGCTCCTCTCATTAATTATTGTTTTTTGATTAAATGTAAGACCCAGGCAAACAAAAATTAGATATTCATGTGACATGTAAATAAGAATGCTAAATGGTGAGAAATGGATTCATTAGTTGTTGAGGGGATTGTAAATTCAGAGAAATGGCTGTTTATTTTCATGTCAGTTGTGGTCTTAATTCTAGCTTAGGGTGTCTTAGCTATTTTCCTTATTTTTTTTTTCTTAAAATTGCCTTGAAAACATTATTAATCATAAATCCAACAGGAAAATAACCTGGAGAACAAATATATCATTGGACACTGACTTTTGACCGTTACTTAAAAGAAGTTCTTTGTCTTTAGGTTATGCTAGTGAAGTTTAAGATGAGATTTATATGACATCCTAATCTTTGTGCTTTAATTCTTTTTAGTGGAAACTTGCATTAAACTCTGAAAAATTGTGTCCTAATACTCACATTTAGCTCATTTCCTAGAGATCTCGTTAACATTTTCTTTTCTGTTCATTCCTCTCGTTAATATTGAGAAGCCAAAAAAGTGGAATCTTATAGAAGCTTTCATTTGGTTTTACAGTTATTCATACCCAGCAGCCAGAGCAGGTTTTTTAGAAGCTTTGAACCCAAAATTCCCTGTAATTTTTTGTACTCTTACTCTCTTTTCCTTTACGTGAATGGATGTTTTCCATAGTGTTTGATTATTTATCTTGAGGTAACATTAATTTTGAGAAAATCTTAAAGAGAAGCCTCATCTTGAGTCTGTGAGATCATACTAGAAAACATGGGGAAAACTTTGCTTAGTTCTGGTTTTGCAAGGCTAGATACCCAGTTATACTCTACTGCTAACTGTTTTTAAGTAACAGAAATTTCTCACAATAAAATACAAGGTATTAACAATTATGTGT